AAGGCAGCTAGTCATCACTACCCACCGCCAACTCTTGGGCTACTCTTTTACCAACGAATAGTGGGATTGACCGTCACATTATAAAGCCCCCACGGCTGAAAGGGCGAGCATGTTTGGTGGGATGCGGATTCGAACCCGCGACCCTCTGATTGTGAGTCGAGCACCTTATCTACCTGGCCATGCTGGGCCCCACTAGGTATTGTTTGCAACTCAAATCCAAGCGGGCAGAAAGTTTTGATCATGTTGGATGCGTTATCAGATGTCACATATGACATCTTGTTGTTGATGTTAAAGATATTTATTATTTCATTATATTGAATTGCAATGTTATCAGATGTGTGACGCCCTTTGAAATGCACACATGCCAGCATGACTGTTTGCATTTTCCAATGGCTCCAAGCAAGCTGTGCATTTGTCTGCTACTCCAGATATCCACAGTAACATTGAAGTTGGTACAAGTTGCAGTAGAGAGATGACTTTTTGTTGGACTACATCAAACTTGCTGTCGATCAACGTTGTAGACCGATGCTTTCGACTGGGAAGAATATACCGAGAATTCACGGCTGCCATTAGATCTGGAAAACCTTTTGACTCCACCATTGAGAATGGTTGCAGTTTTCCGGCAATAAAATTGACGAGTTTGTTAGTGACGTGCTTCTGACGAGGATGTGTAGACATATATTTAGTTGATTCTGTACAGTACGCTGCTATTGTAAGTTGCTGCACCAGGGCGGAAGTACCAGAGCTAGATGTAGACTTCTGTAGCTCTGCATCATGATTACGCTAGAAATACAAAAGCGTATCTCAGTTATACAATATAGAATATAGTTAATAATAAAAACATATAATAATAAATAGAAATGATGAATATAGTTTAAGACATGAGAAATTAGTTTAACTACAGAATATAGTTTATAATAAAAATATATAATAATAAAATGAAATTAATAAAAAATATAGTTTACCTATATTACATTGTATAATTTACATAGAATATAGTTCATACTAACAAAAAAAAATTAAAATGCTTACCTCCAGATGTGTTAGCAGGTTAGAAGTAATTTTCCTGAAGTAGAAATAGTCCGATCACAATATTTATACTGCCTTAATGTATCCAGATCTATAGGAAGTTTGAAGTGTTTACGTACCACTAAATACAGTTTAGTAGCCATCTCAAATTTCCTCAAGTGACTTGATTAGATTAATAACATGTAATAGAGTAACTTTTAAGGTGGTTGAAGAGTACTGACCTGATTTAAATAATTAAGTTAGTTTTAACAGTCTTCGTAATATTTGCTTTCTTACCAACTGTACCAACCGCATAGTAACCAATTATATGGTAGCTATTGCCAATCCGGTATGAAAAACAAACAAACAACACATAAGCAATTATAATAAAGTAAAAAGCAAAAGTAATCGTCGCCCCTATCTGTATTATACAGTTGTCAATGGACATCTGAATCAATGTAATAAAATGAAGTCTTGAAAACAGGCTTTACGTGTATCGATAATAAGTTCTATATATATGTATATCCATAATTATATTTTCCTAACCTTATTCGTACAAGGGTCACAAGTCTAAGCTCAAGACGAAGACCTAAAAAAATTACTTTTTATTTTATCACATAAGTTTTATAGTCGTGTGTATTATATATAGATAGTTTTATTATATTCATTTCATAATAACAGATTGTTTTTGCTCATGGCAAAAATATAAAACTAAGCTTTCAAAATATCCTCTATTGGCTAATTTACTTCCGAGATCCATACATTTTAGACATGTTCAACTTGACAGCTTTTCTACTTCAGAAAAGTTCACATAAAAGAGATAAATGAAATTCATGACACTTACGTTTCAGCTGCGCCTTAATTTAACATGATTAATGAGATTCACTCTTGAACAGGGGTCACCAAACTACGGCCCGCGAGGTCAGTTCATCCGGCCCGCCGCTGCACTGTGCCACAAATGAG